CACGCCTAATCTTAACAGAATTAAGGTCCATCCCACTAAGGATGTTTACTTTTGGACTGTTTTCAGTCTCAGACCAGACCAGATCAGACCAGACTTTCATAGTTATAAAATACACGACGTTTACCAGACCAGACCAGACCAGACCAGACCAGATTAGACCAGCAAATTTCAGTCCAAAAGAAAACATCCTAACTCACCAAGTAAAACTGGCTGATAAGGGGATCAGCAAACACGCAGTTATGTTCACAAGTAACAATAACTATATTTTTCCTACTTAAATAAGCATTATATACATGAGATGCAAACTAATTTTGGTCCTTCGTAATACGTATCCTGCAAAGTCAGCCACACACTGTACAGGAATAGGCAGATAGAACAAATAAGTAAAAAAAAATTACACAGTTCATAATGGTGAGCTACAGCAATGGAAAAACATAAGCCCACCAATCAGTGACTAATAGTGGAATTGACCTAATTTGTAGGATCAACATGAAAAAATACTTTTCATTTTAAGGGCCTAAATGTGGACTTAATTGTGATCTTTGTCAATACACATAATTGTCATCATTGTCTTTTCTCATGAATTTACAATCCAATCTAATAATTGTAAACGATTCATTGGATTTACACTATATTAAGCCCAAAATAAGTGATAAAGGTGATTACGAATAAAAGAACACCTAACTGTTTTACCCAACCATTCATGTGTAGTTTGGTGTATGTGTTTACTTCCCATAATGGGGTGCGAGAGGACAATTATATCAAGTCACACCAAAATATCTGTAGCAAATTATGATTTAAAAAAAAAAGGTAAATAAAACCACAATCTCACATCTAGCATTACCAAGAGGGCTATATCACAACAAACCTAGCTCAGCAGCATCACTTTTGACTATCCTGGCTTAGCTAAACTTCCTTAACCTCGAAATAGCTTAGGTTTTCCAAATAAGATGAGGGGTAGATGTGCTTAAGTTGAGATTCAAGTCCATGTCCCCCCTCCCACTAATCAACAAACATTGTATGTAGCAAATTGGAATGGGAATCTTCTTTGCCAATCTCATCAAAGAATCCACTAGAGGCGTTTTCCCTCTTAATTTTTCTCTCTTCAGCAATAGATTCTGCGCTTTCCATGCAATAGTTTCTCTTACCTTGTTTCGCAGGTCTTTCAGCAACAACATACTTGTTTCCTTCTCGCGATCTTTCAGGGAAGCCAGCCCAAGCTTTTAAAGAAAATGTCATAATCTCATCGTAAGAACAGGTGTGATCAAATATTCAAATGCCTGTTTTCTAACATTAAAGTGTGTAACTAACATTGTTTATATTCTCCACCCTTTATTCAAAGCAACTGTATTCAAAATCCAGGAAATTTATTTATTGATTGATTCATTTACAACCCGTTTGGAGAATCCTTTTTCGGGTTATCAATGAGACATTTTCACTTCGCACCAAACAATAACTTATTTCTTTTGATTAATACACAATTCTAACATGCGATATCAAAAGTTATGTGTTTGGTACAAAAATGGTTTATAAGCCGGAAATAAGTGTTACCAAACAGGCTCTAAGTTAACTTTTTTTTATTTTTGGATAAAAAGTGCAAGAGTTACTTCTTTTGGCTGAAATACAAGTACCCACAAACGCTTTTAATACCTTTAACAAGAATCTGTGGGCTGGGTGTTCTCAATGCCTATGAATCTATGATAGTTCACATGTAAAGTATTAAACTTTAAATATTACTACGTAACTCGTAGGATTCACATCCCACATAAGGATCAATAAGCCATTCCCAGTGAAAGAAGTGGTAATTTGATTTTAACTAGTTAACCAGTAATACAGCATTCAATGAACTAAATGCCACCATTCCTCCATTATCTAATATTTTTTAATTCACATTTCATTGCAATTGCATCAGAATCTGGAGTTTTCCGTTTCATTTTATGGATCATACACTTACTGAAGTTGCTAGTTAGTATTTCAGAGTTCTTATATTCAATCAAAACATAAAAAACACATCCTCTATGGCTGAAAAAAATAAACTAATAAATAAAAAGAACAGCCAGTTACCTCCAAAGTGATGCAGAACAATAGACGCAGCCACAGTGACATTAAGAGATGCAGTTCCACACCCATAGTGCGGAATGTATACAAAGAAATCACAGATCTCACACTCCTTTTCCGAAAGCCCTGTTCCCTACAATATGTTTAATCTCAAAAGCGTTCATTGATCACCAAATTCTAAATTTCCCCAGAAAAATTTGGCATGAAGTTCAAAATTTGAAAAACACAGCTAAAAAGTTTACCTCATTGCCAAGGAGGAAAGCGGTGCTCCTTTTGAAAGGGTGCTGATTGACAGCCCTTGCACTGTCCGTAATTTCCACTCCACATATATCACAACCTTTCTCCTGAGCACCGAAAGAAATTAACAAAGCAATTTATCATAGGGTTCCTAGAAGATGGAAGCGAATGGAGTTTCTGAGCACCTTGAGAAAGCTTTTGGCATCCGAGAGAGAGTGGAAGTGGCGGAATCGAAGGTGAGAGGTGGATCCGTGGCTCCCGAATGAGTTGAAATCCCTCCGGCCGACCAGTATCAGTTCAGAAACGCCGAAGGCGGTGGCGCTACGAGCAAGTGTCCCAACGTTGTGCCTCTTCGCTATGTTGTGCACAACGACATAGCTCTCTATTACCTTCGTCTCAGTTTCCATCTTTCTCTTGCGTTTAACCTAACTGCGTATACAATACAATTGAGTGGTGTCTGCAGCCGCTGCACCACCGTGTAGGGCTGAAACCTCACTTGAATTGGAAATCGAACGGCGGCTTTGTGGCTGTACGTGTCGATTACCAATCAGAAAGAATGAGCTACGACGTCGTTACATTTCTTTTAGAGCATATTTATTAACAGACGGAGTAATAATAATTCAGGACTTCCCTTTCAGGACTTGGAAACGTCAAACGACATTACAGAGCCGACCAGAGACGATCGTCGATCGACCAAGTCGCCTACGCCGGTACGCCGCGGCATAAGCATACCCTATATCCAATGTTTAAATTTTGTTTTGCCATTTCGTCTAACTTTCTTAAGGATTAGTTCGCCCAATAGAGCAGCTCAGAATTGATTGAATCGGCGAAGATGGCTCAAGAGCCGAAGCCAAATCAGACTCCTTCAGGGCCATCGCTCCACCAAATGGATGCGGACGAAGAAGACGATGCTGTCAAGCAACTTCAAGAATGCTCTGTCCATTACCTAGCTTTACAGGTGCCCATACTGTCATTCAATTTTCTTATATAAAAAGGAGTTACTTTTGTATGTTTACAGTGGAAAAGAAAACAGAAAAATCCACACCCTCAATTGGAGCTGATAACCCTTTGATATTTGCAGGATTGCCTTGTTGAAAACAACCGTAACTGGAAATCATGCCAAAATGGTAAATCTTTCTGTTTCTTCACTTTATTTATTTTAATTGGGCAGAGATTAACTATTTCCAAAGGGTTTTTTTTCTTGTTTTAATGGTTCAAAATAAACAGAAATTATGATTATAAATTGCGGTAGGCTGCAATGCATGATGAGAATGAGACTGTGATTTCTGAAGGAGTTGAAAATGGTGTTGCATAAGTGCCTCCAGCCTCCACATGTGTCCACATTGCGGTTTTCGGTTTGATACGAATCACACTGCAATTCAGGTGCAATGTGGTTGCGTGGTGGAAGGCATGCGCAATATTGTGGGACTGCAACATTTGCTACTTTCTGCAATTTAACAGCAGAGGAAAATGAATAGAACATAACCAACTGATTTTTTCTTTTTGGAAATCATTGCAGCAGTAAAAGCTTTGAAGGCTTGCAATGAGAAGAGAAGTAACAAGAAGGAGAGTTGACCCTTGGAGAAACATTTTTTATTTTCAATGCAAGTTGAAATAGAAAGGATTTTTAGTGCATCACTTTGCAAATGCTGCATGGATTATTATTACGGAATAATTGACAAGTTCACAAATATGAACAAATGAAGTGTTACTGTGATTGTATTTGGGTTTTGTACTGTCTTTATTCTCATTATATGGTCTTATGCTACTTCTACCAGCCTAACAGGCTAACAATCACATTGGTTCCTGTCGGTGCTACACTGCAACATGTAACCAAGACTCTGAAAAAGACAGGTTTAGGTGCGGTCACACAGCTACATTATATGATTATGGTTCTTGAAATTTTAAAAGTCACAACCCGAACCAGTTTAGACTTGTTCTAGATGCCAGCTCCAGACCAGTACTCTGATATTTGCTTGCATTGTCTTGGTCCAATCCTCGTAACAGGTCCACCCGTAAGTAGGGGTGGATTAGGCCCGGGCAGGACCATGCTCCGGGTCATAAATATTCAGGCCCAGTACCGGCCTGGGTTAGAACCGAGGCCGGGCTGTGTCGGGCAAAAATTAAGTTTTTTATGCTGTCTTTTAGAATTAATTCGAACTGCCCAAACCCCCAAACCCCCCAAGCCCCAAGCCCCAAACCGCCCAGCCCAACCCACCAAGTACCAACCCAACCCAAAAAATTAAAAAATATATATAATTATTTGGGCCCAGTTCGGGCCCTAGTCCCGGTCTCGGACCCTCGGGTCGAGCCTGTACAGTAACGTGCCGGGCCCGGGTTGGGCTGAACCTGCCTAGTTTACCCCTACCCGTAATTATGTGTCTCACATCGATGAACTTCTTTCCCTCTTTGAGCAATGGTAAAATGTCCAAAGAAGTTTAAAGGTGGCATTGTGGCAAACGAGGACTTGAGGAGCATATTGGGCCTATTGGCTATTGAAGCATTTCTTTGTACTTCACTACTTCATGGTTTGTATTGCAGATTGCAGATAAAGGAATTATTATAAGTGGTTAAAAATGTTATTGTACTTGTATTTCTTTGTAGCTCATGGTTGGTATTTAGGTGTTTTAGTGTGGAGTTTTCCACATCCATGCTTGTTTTAATTTGATTATAAATGAACTAACATGTAACAGTAGTACTTAATATTTTGGACTTCTTACCATTTTTTTGAAGTGTGTATCTTAAGGAGAAAGAAGGGAAAATACTTGGCCAAACAATATTCAATATTTTAGAAAGCTTTCAATAGGATCACATTTATCAACAACATAACACTTCTACTCATAACCACTTTGAAACAAAAACATATCCAAAGGAGCTGCTCATGCGTTTGCAATATTTGGCCAGCCTAATGGAATGAGAAGCATCTTCAATAGCTCTCATGGACCTAAAATCAGACACTTCTTGGTGCTAGAGTATCACTGTATCAGACAGAAAATAGAAATGGTTGGTAATACAAATATCTCAAGTCCCTGGGCAAAGAGATTTGCACTAGCAAATAAAATTGCTGCCATTTTGGTGTGCAAGCCCTGGCCATCTCCAGCAAAACCACCTGCCATAAAAACTCAGTCAAACACAAAAAAGTACAGAGTAATATATGTACTCCAAGAAAGCTCGTTTGCGTTTGGATTTGAAAAGATCAAAATTGCTTTTAAAACACTAAAACTGCTTTTCATTCTTCAAGAAGTGTATTTTAGTTTAGAAAGCAAACACATATGTGTGTTTAACTTTTTCAAAGCAGTTTGGAGCAAATTTCAAATAAATTCTATACGGAGTACTCCCTCCGTCCCCTTTTAAATGTCCCGGAAGAGGGTGGCACGAGATTTAAGAAAAGTGGGTTTGTGTGGTTGATATTAATTGATAAAGTAAGAATAAAGTAGGAATGATTTTGAGCCACACAAACTTTACCAATATGGGACGATTAAATAGGGACATCCCAATATGATAAAACGGAACATTTAAAAGGGGACAGAGGGAATATTATCTAAGCAACGTTCACTTTCTATAAAGAGTTTCTGAAAAAACAATTATCCTCAACACAAAACACTGTGATATAAACTCACTTCTACCAAACTAAATTTTGAAATGAACTTTTAACTCAAATCCAAATACACATTAGTTGATCTGTGCTTTAAGAAAAGAAAAGGCCATTCTACTGCATTGTGGGTAGAAAACACTTTTTCACATCAAGGGCTTCTTTGGCTAGTTGATTTTGACTTTTTGTTTACTGATTAATAAGTATATATTTGCCAAGCTTACGTTAGAAAACAAACATAACTTTTCATCTTTACTTTCTAGCTAGCAAGCCAACTAATGGTGGAACAACAAATCAATAAATAAATATCACCCCCTCCCCTCCAATATTCCCCAACCAAACGAAGGGTTAAAAGAAAAAGACGATTACCATTTCAGACACATGAAAACAGGAAAATTCTCTCTCTATTCAGTTACTGCAATGCAAACAACAAACAAACACCGCTTTAGCTATAAACAAAGTAATAAGCTGCCAAAAGGGAAAAGAAAGGTGGGCGGGGAAGGTAATTGAAACTCACAAATGTGTTATAAGCTAGGAGAGAGCTAAGGGGGAAGTTTGAGATTTCACTGAAGAAGTTAGCTCAGAGACATCCCCTTTCACTGACAGAGAAGTTTCAGATCCAGTAGGAGTGAAAAAAATTTCAGACACCCTTTCCCCTGTTTCCCTATTTCTTTCAGCACAGTCAGTGGTTCTAACACCTGACTATCACACACGTTTAAGATTATAATAATAAACCGTTATGGAAACTAACAAATACTTCTTCCGTTCTTTTTTAGTTGCAACATCCCCTTTTTCACGTTTGACAATGTACAACTTTGACCGTCATTATATTTAATTCTCTATTAGTAAAAACGTTTTAAAAATCAGATTATGAAATTTTGTAATGAGACGAATTCAACAATAGTTTTCAAAAAAATTAATTCACATACATTAATAAATAAAATATAGTCAAAGTAGAGTAATATAAATTCCAATGTTGCAACTAATTCAATATGGAGGATAGTATATATACAATCAAATAAAGATACTAACCAAGCTTTTAAGTCAAGCAATAGGAAAATATGCAATCAAAAAGAGAAAGATAAAAGGAACATATTTGGATTTTTTATGGAGAGGATCGCCGCCATCTGGTTTGTACTTAATTGTTGAGACCAACACTTGAACTTTTCCAAGTGTGGGTCTAATCAATTCTGTTCAAACCAAATGATGCCTCGTTGGCTTTCCGTCCTAGATAGAAAGACTACCAAATTTGAGAACTTCGCTACCAGTAACTGTTTACATACAGAAACATTTAAAATAAAGTGTGTAATTAGCCAAACACATGTGAAAAATATATGCATCACAACATTATTCATCGTCATCAAAACATGTGCTACGTATGCAGCTATGCGCTTGCCTTGATGTGCCTATTAAAGTGATACCTAATACTAGTAGTAATATATAATAATCACAGCCTCCATCAAATTTATATCTACATGAAGATACTGAAAAATATATGCACAAACAAACAGTAGAAAGATGTTGCTAGAGTGACAAGAAAATAAGAAGTCTTGGATAGCAAATATGAGCAAACATACATGGAATAAGTCTTTAATGTATACGATGATGATTGTTATGTCATCTGTTCGAGTTTCATGCTCTAGCCATCGCTTGTACGCTTCTGCAGCTATTTCTGAACATGCATCTCTTGGATCCGGGTATCTGTTCGCCTACCATAAATGAATTAGCAAATGATATATTAGTTCGACTTGAAGATCTAAAAAATGATTAAAGGCTTTAAAATTGGTTGCACATTAAATGTCCAATTTCACAACATATGAAAGCTCCTTTTAAGCATTTTTTAACATTAGCTCTTCTAAAAATGGGTTACTTTTCTTTAGCAAACTCCTCAAATTTTCATAACTATGCCTGAATTAACATCTGTTAGAACATTGGTATAATTCAACTAAGAACACTAGAAAATCAGGAAGAATTGATCAAGAAGATGATCAAGAAAGCTTTATTTCACTAACATGGGGGATGCAACAGAATATGGATCTTTAATCAGAGACTGCCAAGCCATTCTTCACAACAACAACTTTCAGGTTGTTTTTACTAGACGAGGAGCTAATGGTAGTGCTCACACATTAGCTAGGGCATCTATCAGATTTGCTTCTTGTACTGTTTTTCAACATGTTCCATATTGTATTCTCGACATTATTAATGATGAAATGAATTAATTTTGTGATTGTAAAAAAAAAAAGCTTTATTTCAATGAAGAAAGATTTACAGTAGCTATACTAGTTCTAACGAGACTGTTAGAGAAGTCTCAATCTCCCAGCCTAATCCCAACTAAAATTCTTGCCTACCTCTTTTGACTCCCCTCCCTTTCTATTTATACTACATGCTAGGGGTGGGCACAAAAAAACGTAACCGTCTAACTAAACCAAAAAAACGAAAACTGACGTATTCTTCGGTTAACCGTACCGGATATTAACTCACGGTACGGTTAACCAACCGCAAAGAAAAAAAGGTACATGGTACGGTTATGGTTGAAATTATGTTAACAACGGTTAACCACTAGCTGAAATTTTAAATAAATACCGGTACCTGGTTTGTAGTTTGTAACATGCTCCCTTAGTGGAACACTATACGGAGCATATATAATGTTGCACCCCCACTGGGACGTACTTGGTTTTTTAAAAGGAGCTCTACTTCCTTATTAGTTTTTAGGAGTATATGACTAGTTTTAAATCTTTTGTATTGTATATATTTGAAGAGTTTACTAGTTATACTAAAAAAAGGATGAGCTTTTGTCCGCAGAGTATACTTTGATCTACTGGCCAGTACTACTGTATGAATTATTATTATTATTACAATTATTCAATATTATGCACATCAGCACATATAATTAAGCATATTGATATTCCAAAAAAAGAATTAAATAAGCATATGCAGTGAACTAATAAACTATCAATAGAAATTTTTACAATAGTTTGTCATTTAAAATTTTGTATGTTACAAAATTTAAAAACAACAAGAAAATTATTATGGTTTATTGGTTAACCGTTAGCGGTTAACCTAAATATTGGTTAACCGGCACCCGGTTATGGTACGGGTAACCGTATATAAAATTTAGTAACCGATGACACGGTTAACCGAAAATTGGTTAACCGAAATGCGGTTAACCAACCGTGCCCACCCCTAAATGTAGTACATGCCCATTTATTATTATCTACATGCATACTTATTATTATTATTATTATTATTATTATTATTATTATTATTTCTATTGTTAGCCTAATAGGCCTGATTCCTATCAATACTCCCCTCCTAAACAACCACCTTGTCCTCAAGATGGGTGATAGGAAACAGCCAAGATCCTCTGCTTCCTCTTCATCCTTGCGCCTCTCCCTTCCCAATACTTGACTGATTTCTGGACCTTTAGCTTCGTTATTTCGATCTTCTTCCACATGTGCTTCACAGCATAAATACACAGACGCAAGGACATGGTGGCATAATGCTCCTTAATGTTATAAAGGATATAATATCCCAACATCTGCCTCTTTTGTTGTAACCTTGGCTTTTCTTCCAACATCTTTTCCAGGAACTTTGTTCTTTAAGACTCTGTGGAGGATAACGCAGAGCATGCTACATCATAGAGAAAACAGCAACTTGCCTACACAGATCTTCATCATAATTCAGCAGTCTCTCACATAAGTCAGACATAATCTGAGGAGTTTTATCTCTAAATGGATCATAGAACAAACCATTTTTAACCTTTTCAAGAACACACATACAAACTTCAACTGTTTGATCAATCCACCTCTTCAAAAATTCCCTGACTAACGGTTGAAAAACCACCTTGATTACAAATTTGGGCATAGCCAAGAGGTCCCAAAGCAAGCTACTCACTTCTAATTGTGTATCCTGTAAATCAGTCTCCTGTTTGGATTGCATCATAGGAAAAATATAGGTGTAAACTACTCGTTGAACAGTTCCACAAAGAGTGTGCAGTCCATCTAACCACTTCCCATCAATTTTGACACCACTAGCAATTTCTGGCTTTAAAGATAAATCCATGAGATGCTCTGTTGTAAACATCAATTACAACAGCCTGAGTAGTAGAATTCAGGCCCTCACTGATTTTATCCAACTGGTATTCAAGATTAAACTCCTCAGCCCATCTCAGTCTAGAGTTAGAGGAGTCCCGAATTGAAGAAAGTATCAAATTGCCGCCCTTAACTACCATCTTAGGTTTGGCATTTGAGTGAGTGAAGACTGATCCTTCAATTTCACTAATCTGTGGATCATTCTTCCCCAATTGCTTTGCTAAGGCCCCCAATTCCCAATCCTCTTCTCTTTTCCTGAGTATCTTAACCCATTGACCAGCAATTGCCATATGAAACCTATAGTCCAAACCTGCACCTTCCTTTTGTACTGGTATACAATCTATCGACATTCTCCTTACATTCTCACCAATTATCAAGGCCGCTTGGAGGATAGCAGAATTGAATTCATTGTCAAGCATTAGGAAGATGTCAATGTAACCATCAGTAATATAACCAACCTTTTCCTTCCAAGTTCCAGTAATTCTTACCCCCACCCCTTTTTGGACATACTTCACAGAAATTTCATCATCAAATCTGAAGCCATCAAACTTATACAGCCCTTTCAAAATTCTCTTGGATGAATGAAGGTGTATAACATCCCTTATAACCCCCAACTCACGTTCTTGAACTCTACCCAACAAAGATTTAAAATATTCTTGGTTTCTTATAAGTACAAGAGCATACCTCAGACCATCATAAGTAAGGATCGATGGGCGATACAGGCCTTCCTCATCAGCCCCTGTGATAGTGTTTAGTTCCCAGGCAGGACCATTGTGGTCAGTACGACTTCTTTCCTGTCCGTCGGGAATATCAGGTTTGCGCTTTTCTGCATCTTCAGGATTATCTGGTGGAAATTCCGTGGTTTGAGTAATGTCATATTGTGGATCCGGTTCAGGAATTAACGGTTCATATGTCTTCGCCTCATCCTTCTTCAGTGTTGTCAAAGGCGATCCACTTCCTGATTCCACGAGGTCTATAGTTTGTGCAAGGTGAAAATCGATGGAGTTCAGTGTCGTAGCTGAAATTTGCGCATGGTGAGAAGAATCAACTTGCGGCGAATCCTGCGGACCAGTGGACTCGGCTATCATCCGTGGACTAGAAGAAGCGACTTGCGATGCCAACTGCGACAGAAAACTGGAACGGTGAGGAACCACTGGTGAAGACATCTTCGACCCTGTAGCAACCACTCGCGATGACGATCTGTGAGAAACTGCTATCGGCGAGGATTACGAACTGAAAGAATAGTCCAGCGACGAAACCAGAGAACTGGAAGAAGTTTCTCGCGATTGAGAAGAAAACTGCCCAGTTAGCGACAATCTGGAAGAATTAGTTCGCATCTGCGAACTGAAGGACGCTGTTGGCGACCGCGATCACCCTCTAGTCTGGAGTTGTTTGTTCATCGCTGCTAGCTGTCTGGCTATGTTTTCCGCCATCGTTCTCATGTCTGTTAAGTTCTTCTTCATCGATGTCTGCTTCCTATCCAGCGAATCCATCCTACTCTCCAGCGAATGCACCCTCTTCTCCATTCTTGCTCTGATACCAATGTTAGACATTGGTATAATTCAACTAAGAACAGTAGAAAATCAGGAAGAATTGATCAAGAAGATGATCAAGAAAGCTTTATTTCAATGAAGAAAGATTTACAGTAGCTATACTAGTTCTAACGAGACTGTTAGAGAAGTCTCAATCTCCCAGCCTAATCCCAACTAAAATTCTTGCCTACCTCTTTGGACTCCCCTCCCTTTCTATTTATACTACATGCCCACTTATTATTGTTATCTACATGTACACTTATTATTATTATTATTATTATTATTATTATTATTATTATTATTATTATTATTATTATTATTATTTCTATTATTAGCCTAATAGGCCTGATTCCTATCAACATCTAACATTGTCATTATAAATACTCTCCACTTCAGTCAATTAGTGCTCTAACTGCCAACACAAAATACCAGTTCACCTTTTCTCTCATCATCATCATCATTACCCCAGTGCCGCAAAGGCTCCCACCTACGGTGGGGTAAGGGGGGGTCAGATGTACGCAGCCTTACCTCTGTACTAAAGCACGGAGAGATTGTTTTCGGATGACCCATAGTGAAAATCGCGTCGAAAATTACATGGACTGTCTGCTACTTCATAACAAAGAAGCGTAGACAGTTTAGTGAGTCATTTTGCTTTATTCCATCATATTCCAAAGCCAAAAAATAGTGAGTCCTTGGCTCCATTGCAAATGATGGAAATAGTTCACCTTTTCTCTATCTAAGGAAAATATATCACTTTGCATCTGAAACAATGATACTCGCTGCTCGAACTAACTTTTTAATTTTCTTAAAAGTTGACAGCATGTCATCAATTACACTTGCTAAATCAAGAATAATTAGATGAGGAAATTTAACTGATTCTCTATGGTTTTCTGAAAGTGGGAGAAGCAGTGACAACAAAATGTAAAGCGACCGTTAGAACGAATGGTACAAAAATACCCTATCTAGGCAATTAGAATTGCAAACAGCTACCTCTAATCGACGAGCTTCAATATACATGAAATGCCAAATCATCAGCAACAGTCTTTTGAAGCACATAATTGAATATGAAAGATGAACAATTTATCATTACTATTGTTGTTATTATTATATGAAACTCATGACATACCATGTCCACCACGGTTTGGCTGGAGAGAAACTCAAATACCCCATCACTGGCAACTATAAAGAATGGATAGTTAGTTGTTAACTTAACCGTCAAAACCTCTGGAACAGCAATAACCCCAATCTTCTCAGCTATACTATCCCCAACACTCCTTGTGAATGCAGTCCCAGGATACACCCCATTCTGAAACCACAACCTAGGTGGGTCCCCACCCTCCACCTCATCATCCCAAGACTGAATATCCGGATCCTTAAGGCCCTCAACTTGATCCACACTCAAAACCCTGGCCCCACAAAGCTTCACCCTCTCGCATTCGTCACTCCTGAATGGAGTCTGATCATTGGACAAATCTTTAGCCACAACTTTGTTCCCCTCCTTGACTGCCAGCACGGCCCGCGAGTCGCCCACATTAGCAACGTATAACATGTCTCCAATTACTAGAGTCGTTATGGCAGTGGTCCCACTCATAGAATCATCTATGTCACTGTTATGAAGTTCTTCGTTGGTTGTTAAGAATGCAGAGTTGAAAGCCTTGACTGGATCATCCAGCAATGTGGGGTCACTTGACATGATCTCGACTAACCTATCCTTGACGAAAATGGAACATTCTGTGCCGAACTGGCCATGCCCATCAAAGACTCCACAGAAATGGACATTGGGGTTTCCAAGAAGCTGTGATTTAATACAGTAGCTATCTTGGTTTTCCTTTTGTGGAGATTCTGGGTAATAACCACGTTGTGTGAGAACAGAATATTCTAACCTCAAGTTGTGAGAAGGCACATGAGCAATCTGTAAAGGTCTAGCAGTAGGGATATGGGTTTGATCAGAAACTGCACCTTGTTTTTCCCTGTTATCCCCTTCGGAAGCTGAAGGACGTCTCCTGCAACATTTCCCATGAATACAACCCATTTCTCCACCCAAATTTCAAGTACCTACAGAACAAACCCTAAACCCCTAGAAAGGGGTTGGTGAGAAATTGCGGAGAAAGCACAATTGTCAATGGAAATTGACAAATTGTACGGAGTATCTTGTAGTGAGGACACTGGGATATGGGTTTTCAGGTATGAGCAGGATTCTTGATTGAAAATAAACAACACGGCATTTCCCAAACTGTAATTTTGCTTCAGAAGTATGGGTTTTCAAGCACACCCATCTGTTGAAGGTAGCTATGCACAATATGAACAAACCCTAGGAGGAACCACAGGACAAAGTGAAATCGCAGAAAACCAGTCCATCCAGAAGAAAGGAATAAAGACACAGAGGGTGTCAAAAGAAACCCTTACACGGTGAAACGGGGAGTTATTATTAAAAATTGAAATTCCAGGAAAAGAACGATGCAAAAGGCAAGGATAGATTGTGAGGGGATCATGCAACAACTTTTCGAGGAAATGTCACCAGAAGAAGACACCAAGGTGTTGGGTTTGTGGGGTCTGTTTCCAGCTTATACAATTTGGCAAAGAATATTGAGATACGAATATGTAGATGATATTATTTTTTAAATCGGGTTAATTTGAGAAGAAATGATTGCGAAATTGTGAAATTAAGGATTTGGGTATTACGATAATGCGAAGATCAGGCTGGTGAAGGGGTTTAGGGTTTTGAATGTGCAATAGATTAGCCATCCATTCTGCTGCTGATGCATGGACGATGAGGTACCCGTTTGGGCGTCACTTTTTATCGCGGCAGGGGGATTAGAGAAGAAATACAATTATTATGTTTGATGATAGGAACTTGGAGTTGGGGCGGTTAACGAGCCGAGCCCAAACACCCGAAGCTCAAGTTTGGCTCGATAAGGAATCAGTGATATTCGAGTTCGAGCTCAAAGCTCGGGAAGCTTTACAAATGAGACGCGTGTTCGGCTTGATAGACGTTCGATGTTTGAACCGAGCGCTCAATAAGCTCGATAAATATGCTCGAATTTAAAATTTTAGTTGATGTTCGTTAATAGGCTCGTGCTCGAATGATTCGCCAAGTATTCAGTTCGTTAAGAATCACATTTAAATTCATAAAATCATACTAATTATATTTAAATTTTGACATATATTAAAAATATATTTATAATTTTAGGGTGTTTGATAGGCTCGAGTTCGAACCGAGCAAAATACTACTATGTTCGAGCTCGGCTCGATTAATTTTTCGAACTTAAAACTCAGTTCAGGTTCGAGTTCGAAAGCTCGTTAAGCTCGGCTCGTTAGGTTCGAAACAGAGTTCGAGCTCGAATAATTCAATAAAAGTTCAGTTTGTTAACCGCCCTACTTGGAGTTGCGTAAATTTGGACAAGAAAGTAATTGAAATGGAAGTGATAGTACCCAAATTCCCTTAAATAAATCTAGGGAAAGAGTAAAGTGGGTCCCCAAAAATAATGAAATGAAATGAAATGATAGACAAATGGAAACAATTAGAAAATAGAAAATCAATGAAATTCAATTTAGGGGTCATTGCTTAATAATGCTAAATATAATAGAAGTATGAAAGAGGTGTGTTATGGGGGGAGAACCATGTATATGTGTTTAAATAGAAAGGACATTTAATTTCACATATGGTATGACTTAATTAATCATTAGGTCACTGTAGAGAAAATGAGCAACTCAGTTCTCACCCAGCACAAACTCCTCTCTCGCTCCTCCCCAACAAATATGCCTTTCAAGAGGTACGTAGAGATCGGAAGGGTTGCCATCGTCAACTACGGCAAGGGGTATGGCAAGCTTGTCGTCATTGTTGATGTCATAGACTAGAACAGGGCAGTTGTTGATGCTTCCATGGGCGGAGCTAGGGGTGGGCCAAGCTAGGCCATGACCCACCCCAAATTTTAAAAATAGCCTAATTTTTAAGTAAAAAATTTCGTGTAAATTTTTTTCTAAAAGTATTCTTTGTACCGGCCCAATTTGGCTCAATGTCCTGGCTCCGCCCCTGAATGCGCCTGACATGGTTAGAAGCTAGATAAACTTCGAGAGGCTTTCTCTCACAAACATCATGATTGACATCAAAAGGGTTCCAAAAAAGAAAACTCTTATTGCTGCTGCGGAGAAAGCTAATGTGAAGCGAAAATGGGAAAGCAGCTCATGGGGAAGGAAGCTGAAATTGTTCAGAAGAAAAGTGCTAATCTCAATGATTTTGACCGATTCAAGCTAATGCTAGCAAAGATCAAGAAAGCTGATGTTGTTAGGCAATAGCTTGCTAAGCTTAAGAAAGAAACTGTTGCATGAGTTAGAGTTTCTTTGTTTGCAGAATTGCAGTGAGGAGTTTGGTTTATGATTTTGGAAGTTGTATTTGCTTTTTGTAGCAAATGGTGGTTTTGACTTTTGAGGCCATTGTTACAAATTATAAAATTTATGAATATTTATTTCTACCTTTAAAAAAAGAGAGAGAAAATGAGTGGTTGAATCGTTGATTACCTTTACAATACTAGATTTGTGGAAGCATCTAGTGAGAAAGGAATGGATAGAGCGATGAGTTAGTGGGTTTTATTGCTCCCGGTGCGCCACCATTTGATTAAGGGGGAGAAGCATGAAGTTTTTGAGGGAAGGTATGGATGCATTTTCTCTTATTATTGTTATCCTCTTAATCATTAAAAAAGAATCAAAGAGCGAAGAATGTTACATGCAATTTGTCTATATCTTATACTTACCGTATATAACTAGATAAGGTTATAAGAGAATGGTGTGGTTCAAGGACTCGCTTGCAATTTTAAACCAAATAGATTGGTCATTGGAGCATTGTTTTTCTTTTTGCTTGACAAATCTAATTAGTCTAAATGAGCTACTAGTTTGAGCAAAGAGAATTATTAAATAAAACATTATTAATAATAAATGAAGAGGAAATAGTTATAGCTAACCATTTGAGTACATTTCAATTTTGTTACACATGCTTGTGCTTAGTTAAGCTATTAGGACAATTAGCTGACCGTTGGAGATGCTCTAATGTAATCTTATATGTAGTACATAGTACTCCCTCTGTTCTTTAATATTAGTCATCTTAGGCTTTGGCACGAGTTTTAAAAGCAAAGTAATAGGCGTAATGTAAAAGGTGTAATGAGTAATGGGTAAATGAAAAAGTAGGAAAGAGAAAGGGGTAATGGTAATAAAAGTGATGATATGAAGGTATATTGATTTTAAAAACTTTCCTTAAATGTAAATAAAGGAGGATAAATAAAAAAAACAACCCAAAATGGAATGGAGGACTAATAATAAAGAACAGAGGGAGTATAAAAAATTACAAATAGTTACGAATGTTCTAATATAATATTCTATGCAGTAATTTTAAGGAGTAAAAATTATAGACATCTACCACCGAATCATCTATGCAGTAATTTTAAACAACATCCCGTAGTTGTTTAAAAAATTTCCACATATTGTTAACAGACAACTATGTGAGGCTAAAATGGTCACTTTCGTTTGGATGGCTATAGTAGCTTTCGAGACTAAGGGAGTGTTTGCGATTGCTTCAACTTTAAAAAAATGATTTTTTAAAGTGATTTTGGGAAAAGTGATTAATAGTAAAAGTTGGTAGTGTTTGAGAAAAAAGTGATTTTGAAAAAGTAAAAGTTGGTAGTGTTTGGTAAAATAAGTACTTTTTGTGTAATAGAAAAATTGAGAAGCACTTTAAAGCACCCTTCTACCTACTTCCAGCTTTTAGCTTTTAAGTAATTAATTTAAGCAGAAGCTGTCATTTGAAAACACTCTTTTCAACTTTTTTTAAGCCAAAAGCTGAAAAACGCTTTTTTTAAGCAACCCCAAACACTCCTTAAGCTAGTTAGTTGTTTGTTCTACCACCAAATCGCTGATGGATTCTAGTACCATAACCAAGAAGGAATCTTTGCTGGTTTGGAGCATTGTTTTTCCTTTTGTAAACCAAATAGATTGGTCATTGGAGCATTGTTTTTCCTTTTGCTTGACAAATCTTTAGGTTCCTCGTTCTTGTCCAAACGTAACTTCAAGATTCTATTTGGAACGAGATAGATTAGGAAAATCTGATAAGGAGTTACTCTTCTGTTGGCTGTTTCGGCTGAAGTTTTCGTAGAGGACCATTTTAGCTATTCATATGTATAATTTTTTCTTTATTTTATTAATAAAATATACAATAGTTTTTAATTTTTTTCATAAATCAGCAAAATAAGCCAATACAACCATTAAGCCAAAATTTCATAAATTTCAGCAGGATCAACCAATTTAGCCGATTTCGGTGTTATCAAACGAGCTCTTAATTTCCATTACGAGTGCCACATTGTCTGTTTGTCATGTGTTAAATTATCACCAGTGACCAAAACTGATTGATTAATCTGGAAACTTGTACAAAATGAACCGGTATTATAAAGTGGAAATATCCGGACATAGCCCTTTTCGGGTCTAGCATTTCATTTATGTCTCCCGGTAAAATACTTTTCATAATCGAACTTTTAACTTTTCATTTTTAATTTCTTTATTTCAAAAATACTACTTCGTCGTTTTCTCATACTCCAACTTCCAAGAGGCCGGCTCAGCGGCTCTTCCTTCATTTGATTCCCTCTCTCACAGACTGTCACTTCCACAACGGCGTAATCGCTTCTCGAAGGCTAAATCCAGATCGGTGATCGTCAGATTCTATCTCCTAGATTCGCATATTGATACCCTATGAAATTGGTGGATTTCGATCGTGTCGCTGCTCGCGAGTATGAATAGGGCGTTGCTGAGGTTCATCTTTAATAAGGTTTGAATCATCACCGTCAATTATAGGAGGTTGATTGGATCTCCGCCGCATCCCTTCATGGGTGATTTTTTTGTTTCTGATTACGGGTGATTGATAGAGTTTTTTGTTTGCTTGAGTATATCTGATGTGTGTTTTCTCGCACTTAAAAAGGATGTAGTAAAGTGGTTGAAAGTACGAGTATCGTCTCCACATGGACGGACAAAAGGGAAATAAAGATTAACTAAACTTTAGCGATTAAAAAGAAATAATAAAATAAAAATGCAATTGTGCGAGATTGGTTGATTGATTGAAATAAAACTAATGCTAATGAGCGAATAAAAAGATTTGGTTTTCCTTAATTAACGACAAAGGGAACAGGAATTGATTCCGGGGTTAACCAGATTTCTGGCAGAACAGGCCTAATCACATGAATTTAATTTAATTGAGCCTAGCCAATCATTACTAAGTTCTTACCGCTCTCGCGGCGTAGAGTACAATAATTTAGGGGACCAGGCTGATCTCTCATGCGACAGGATCCTAAATTATTGCCAAGACGAGCGAGCTTACGGCCCCTTAATCGCTACTAATCTCTTAGCGAACGATTAAATGTGTGTGAATGTGTCCTAGAACAAATTAGATCTCTCTTAATTCTTTCTACATGCAATTGTAATTGTAGCTGCAGTCTAGGTTACAAGAGATATCAATTAAATTATTCAAACACAAATTAAACGGCATTCATGCAATTAAACCGACAAGAATCTAGCCATCAATCATGATTAACCCCTTCATCAACCCCAAATCCTTAATTAAACTACTCACGCCTCATAATTGACGAATCAAAATAATTGGGATGAATAGAAATAATTGTCATTAATTAAAGAATTGAACTTACAAAGAATCACAGGTTCTTGGATTAAACAACGTAAAAAACGCAGATAAACTCGTCCCTAGGCCTCTCTCCAAAGTTCGTAACCCCCAAAACGAGGTTATGGAGGCCTAATTTATAGAAAACA